AAGTTGTGATTTTCCTGGTTCTTAATATGACAAATTTTTAAAAAAATTATATTCTGAATTTTTTTTGTACACTAATGACATTCTGGGTTCTATTTAAATATTCTAATTTAGCAGAAAGTCATCTTGTTTAAGTTTAGTATGCAGATCCTGGCCTACTTTTGTAGGCTGTGGTTCTAATGATGATTTAGTTTCTGGATCCCTTGTAATGCGATTTTGTTTTACTTTATTTAATTGCTACCTGGAGACTGTTGTGAAAACCTGGTATTCCACACTGTGGTCCAGTTTTCAAACCTTTTGGCATATTAATTGTATGCCAGTTTTACATGTTGGTTGTATATGTCCTTCACAGGCTGAAAGAATGCTTTTTTCTAGCTTCCTTCTCTTTGATATTCCCCCGTTATTAGTTTAGAGGGTACAGCTGGCAGTTGCCACCATTGGATGGGGGGTAGAGGCCCTCACTAGGCTTCCACTGACACTGTTGATATGGGAGGACATTCTGTACGAGGACCCCTGCCACCGCCGGTTGGTGGGTAGAGGTTCACACTCCCCACTTACTCTCTGGTAATAATGCATAAGGCAGAGAGCATCAGCAGTGTTTTGCTTGGGTAGGTCAAGTGTTATCAAAAAGGTTTCTGGGCACCCTCTTTTTCAGTCCTTTCTTAGCGTAGATTTTTTTTAAGGCTTTTTTGTCTGTTTCTCTTGATGGCTCTGGCTGGCTTCTCCAGAGCCTAGTCTGTAAGATATAGAATATAAAGAAACCCCAGGGAACTCACCAGTGTCATTCCTCATATGCTGAGATCTTAGCCAGTCCATTTTCCTCTTTCTACTTTCCAGAGTTCTCTTTTAGTTGTTTGTTATATATCAGGGTTTTTACTTGTACTTCTTTGGGAAGAATAGGGAGAAATGAGTATAATCCATCTTGTTTGGAACTGGAAATTCTTTTTCATGTATTTTAAATTTCTGTTTTAGGGGCAAACACATTTAAGATTGTTACGTCTTCTTGGTAAATTGACCCTTTTATCATGATATAATTTCCCTCTTTTTTTGAGACGGAGTTTCACTCTTGTTGCCTATGCTGGAGTGCAGTGGCCCGTTCTCCGCTCACTGAACTCTGCCCTCTGGGTTCAAGTGATTTTCCTGCCTCAGCCTCCTGAGTAGCTGGACTACAGGCATGAGCCACCATGCCCTGCTAATTTTTGTATTTTTAGTAGAGATTGGGTTTCACCATGTTGGTCATGCTGGTCTTAGACTCATGACCTCAGGTGATCCACTTACTTGCCTTGGCCTCCCAAAGTGTTGGGATTATAGGCAAGGCATGAGCCACCGCACTCAGATCCTAATTTCCCTCTTTATCCCTGATAACAATCATTGTCCTGGTGCCTGTTGTGCCTCATATTAATAAAGCTCCTCCAATTTTCTTTTCATGACTTTACATAAGACATTTCTTTCTGTGCTTTTATTTTGAGCTCATCTTTTTATTTAAAATGGATTGTTTTTGATAGTATATAGTTTGGTCTATCTTTTTTTTTCCAATCTGACATTCTCTGTCTCTTAATTGGTGCCTTAAAACCATTTCTTTAATGTAAATACTGATGTAGTTGGCTTTGAACTTAATATCTTGCTTTTTTTTTTCTTGGTTCCATCTCTCCTTTTTGTTGTTTTTATCTTTTTTGCTATCTTTTGGATTGAGTGTTTTTATTACTATATTTTATTTCTATTATTGCCTTATTACTTTACCTCTTTTTCAGAAAATTTTAGTGATCTCTCTAGGGTTTGCAGCATACATCTTTCATTAGTTACAGTCTACCTTTAAGTAATTATACAGCTTCACTAGTAAGAATCAATATACTTCAACTCCTAATTCATTGTACTGTTACTGTTATGAATTCCTTTTACATATACTATTAACACAATATGTTGCTATTCGTCCATTAATCAGTTATCTTTTAGAGTAGTTAAAAATAAGAACAAAGTATATTTTATACTTATTTTCATGTTTTTCATTTTTACCAGTTTTCACTTCTTCTTAGGTAAATTTCTTTCTGGTTCTTCTACTTGAAGAACTTGTTTTAATGCTTTTTGTAATGGAGGGCTTCTAATACATTCTTGTGGCTTCTGGTTTCCTCAGAAAGTTTTCCTCTTTCACTTTTGAAAGATATTTTCATTAGAATTCTGGATTGGCAGGCTTTTTTTCCTAATGCTTTAAAGATGTCACTCTATTGTTATCTGGCTTGAATAATTTCTGATGAGAAGTATGAGGTAAGTCTTGATTTTTCTTATATAATGCATCTTTTTCCTCTGTATGGCTACATGATTTTCTCTTTGTGTCTATGTGCATGTTGTCATTTCTGATGTTTTTATATCTGTGTTGTTTGATCTTTGAACTTCTTGAATTTTTGGTTTGGTATCTTTCATTATATTTGGCAAATTCTAGACATTAGTTCTTCAACAATTACTTCTCTTCCCCTCTTCTTCTCTGATTTCTATTATGTGTATGTTATATTTCTTGATATTATCTCATAGCTCTTAGAGGCTCTGTTCTGTTAGGGTTTTTTTTTTTTTTTTTTTATTTTAATTTTTCCTTTTTTTCCTCTCTCTCTCTCTCTCTCTCAGTGTGTTTTAGATTGGATAATACCAATCCAACTTTAGGTTCACTGACTCTTTTGCTGAGTCAAGTTATCTGTTACTGTGTTGGTTTTATATATCTATATATCTATTTATCTATAAATCCAGGATTTCTGTTGAAGTAATTTCTACTGAAATGCCCCATCAGTTCAATCATGTTGTTCATCTTTTCTACTAGATCCTTTATCATCTTAGTTATAGTTTGCTTGCTTTTTCACATTTAAGTGTTGGTTGAAAGCCAAACTTTGTAGGTAAGAATCTGAGGTGCCAGACTTTTTTTTTTTTTTTTAATGTACTACATATCACTCACAAGTTAGGTTTTCCCTATGAGCCTGTGCCTCAGAGAGGGTCTGTCTCCATGTTCATTTCTTCTCTACAGATAGACTGCGGTTACATATCACTTGGATCATGCTAGGTTTGTGATAGTAGAGGGAAAAGGAGGGTTCTCTGTTGCTCTGGTTGAGCTTCAGTCTTAGGCAGGTCTTTCAATCCTGCATCTCAGGTGTGGTGCTTTTTCAGTGATCTTGTCCCTCTTCTACTGCTGGTGGCAGGGGTCCTCTACTGGCCAGGGCCCTGAATGGTTTCTTGACCCTCCTGAGGGGTAGAGGGGGTTTTTGTTTGTTTCTGTTTACTTCCCTCAGCAACCTGTGCTCTGGGGATAACATATTTGCTTTTTATCAATGGGGCTTAATGCTTTTTTTTCTTCAAGGATAAAGATATGGTTGGGGTTTCATGTCTGTCCTACAGTGGGGATGGTTCTCTTTTGGTTGGATCTGGAGGAAGATCTTTTCTAATTTCCTGCCCTTCTCCAGTGAGCTACAGAGAGGCTGAGGACTCTTATGAGTGCCCACTGAGGTCTGTAGAAAATAGCCTGCAAATGGATGTGATGCCCTTTGTGTTCAAGCCACCCAGGGTTTTTGTGTTTTCATGGTAGCTCGCCCTTGGCCTTTTGCAGTTTATCAAAAAGTTTAGCTGAGATTTTACTCAGAGATTGGGTGGTCCCAACTTTTCTCCTGTACACTGTCCTATGTCAACCAGTGCTCATGACCCCACTCTCCCCTGAGGTACCCATCTGTCTTTAGGTTTCAGGCTAGTTGGTTGCCCTCTTACTTTAGCTCTGATGGATTCAAGAAAAATATTGTTTTATAAATTATCCAGCCTTTTCTCGTCATTAGGGTGAGAGTGACATTATTTATAGCTCTCTACAACCTAAACAGAATCAGAAGTCTCCCTGAAAAAGATTTAAGCCACCCAATCCTAATATAGATTTTCTAATATCGTAGAAGAAGACATGCCAGATGCTCTTTATCTTGAGTGATACTTGTATTAATGGACTGGAAAAAATGCAAATGGTCCCTGTGTTTTTCATGATATTCCATGACTCAGTTTGGAAAGGAGCGAACCACTAGCTAATCATGTTCACAGAGAGAGTGTTTACATCATTTCTGCTGGTTTTACAATATCAGGGAGGCAAAAGGTACCTCTCAGTGCTTGGAAAACATAAACTTTATATTGAGACAGTTGCATTCTTAAATGATCCTCTTAAGGTCTGTGGTTTTTTTAAAAAAATAAAACTTTAACGGGGATTATTTCAAACATATACAGAAATAGAGAAAAGAGTTTACTGATTTCCCCATATGTCTACTTCAGCTTAAACAATTACTGTTTAAACTATCTTAATGTTGTTTTATCTAGCATTTACACCCCTTTCCCCATGGATTATTTTGAAGCAAATTCCAGATATAATTTTTATGTATAAACACGTGTAAGGAATTGTAGATTTTTATTTCATACCATATGTATTTCAGTTTTAATGTATTGACTTTGGATGGAGAAAGATATCATTTGCAGATTCTGTGCTGTTTGCATTCAAAGGCCTTTAATGTGTGACAGGGTGTATTCCACATCTCTTTGATAACCATACCTCCAGACAAAGGTTCTGGAGGCAAGGACATTTTCCTGGTGTTTGTAGATCTTTTTCTCTCTTTCAACAGTAGCCTGTTGTACTGCATTTAGTAAATTGGAGTTTGAGCAGACATCCCCTAATAATTGAACTCACACTCGCAAATTAATTTTCATATTTCATTGAGACTGCTGTTTATATTTGTATATTCAAAGGAGAAAGAAAAATGGCTTTACTCTTCTGGATGTATGTTTAACAGCATGTGCATGTGTAAGAGTTCAGTATTTTAACTCTGTTTTTTTAACCTTTTATTTTGGAATGGTAATTGATTCACAGAAAAATTATAAAAATATATCAGGGAGTTCACATATAGTCATCACCCATCTTTTTCTAATGCTCACAACTTAAATAATTATTGTATAGTGATTTTAAAAATGTAATTAACCTAGTGGTTATTTTCTTATTTTAACAGCTGCTGAAATAGTTCAAGAAATCGAAAACATGGAGAGGACCAGGATGCGTCTTGAAGCTAGTAAACTCAATGAAAGTGTATGTTATGGGCTATTTCAGTATCTGTATAGAAATGAAGAAAGAAAGTTTAATACCCTACAAAAATTAAAGCAAGCCATTGTTAAACTTGTTCATTTACTAAGACATTTCCATTTAGTGTATTATGATTTACTTGCAACTCATTTTTGTACAATATTTGATTGTACTTAGCAGTCTTCTAGTACAGAATGCAATCCAAAACAGAGTTTGTTCATGAGCTAGGATTCTATAGAAAATGCCTATAGCGACTGTGCATCAGGCAGCTTTGATATTGGTCCTTTCTCTGCTGGTTGCATTTGATAAGCTACCTCTAAGGACCTCTAAGCTACCTCTAAGGACCTCTATGATCCCTTTTTAGCTGTGGCATTCTGCAATTCTATGATTATACTTATGGAAATGTTAAGTAATTATAAGAGGATGAATTAAGTAATTTGAGGATAGAGTATTCACTTGAGCTTTTGAGAGAATCAGAGACCTAAAATTCTTCACTGTTGCCTTCCACTAGCTTGATGGCCCAAAACTTGAAGACAGGATACCAGTGAAGAAAATAGTCATTGTGTCCTGTGATACTGGAGGAAGTGTTTTGGTCTCTTCCAAGTAGAGTTTTTTTTTTCTAGACTATCTATAGTGTGTGAGGAAAGCAGTGGTTACCTTAAGAAAGTAAGTTCATAACCAGATAAGTAGGAAAAAGAAAGGGATTTACATTGATTCTATTATTACCTATATGCCAACTGTAAGATGGGAACTGTAGTGAATCATGGAAGTCAACTTCTGATCTTTTAAGTCTGAGGTTTAGAAAAGTGGACCTAGAAATTTAACTACTGTGTTTTGTATTACTGCATTTTCTATACATATTACTTTTCTAGAATGACCTGGAGAAGTTAGGTTGGAAAGGAGAGAAAGCAGATGAGAAGATCAGCCTTACTGATAGTCAGCTAAGTGTCATCAGTCTTCTGGGGGTTTCAAATGTTGCCTGCTGTATTAAAGAATGTTGAAAATTAAATATTGAAGATAGAAAATTTGTTATTTTGTTAATATATAATTTAATTATATTGCATTTTCTACTGATGAGAAAAAATAATGAGTAAAATGTATACCATTTCTGTATTTAAGGGACGTACATAGGAATGATTTTTTCCTAGGTCTATATCAAACAGTCTTCTCTTTTAAACACATCTGAGATTTGAAAGTTTGTAATATTTCCCATTTTGTTATTTTGGGGAGATTTTTATTAAGATCTTTTTTTGATTATTTTAGGTAATGGTTTTTACAAAGGACCAAACAGAAAAGGAAATAGATGAAATTCACAGTAAATATCGTAAGTTGTGTGACTTTATTTGTAAAGAGCTTACCGTTTTTCATCTTAAGTAATTTTTTCAGAATAATGTTTTATGTTAAGGTTCAACTCAAACTTTTGTCAACATTACCCAAGAGATTGAATTTTAATTGGGTGTTTACTCAGTGACTTTTTTTGTATTTTTTCTGCTTTTTGATATTTATGACTAGCATTCTAGTTTGAGCTTATCACTAAGCACTTTGCAAATATTAATTATCTGCTCGCAAAGCATCTCTGTGAGAAGATGGGATTAAAATGGAAACATTCTGGACTCTATCTTGTCCTCAGGCCATTCAGTAACAATACTTCTGTATAGGATTTCAGTGCTTCTATAGCTTGCAAATTTGTGTCAAAAATAGTTTTCATTTTATTAGTTGTTAGCAACCTCCCAGCTTTATTACTTGCTTTTCTTTAAATGGTCTATGTGTATATCTTTCCCAGGGCTAACACATTACTATTTTGTCAGTTGGATAGCTATTATTCTTTGTGTGGTTGGTTGGTTTGTAGTTTAAATTTAAGAGCCTAACAAACAGTAGATAGTTAATAAATGTTCATGGATTGAGTATTCCCAGGTGTGGTGTGTTTTAATTGAGGTAAGATAATTTTTTTCTCTTTTCATTTCTTAAACTCTGAAGGGATATGCTCTGTAGTGATGTATTGTGGGAGGGAGGATGAACACACATGCACTGGATGTAGGTGTCATCGCTTGTGCCTTCCTAGAGGATTCTTGGATTATAGACTGAACAACAAAAGTCACCATTATTCTGTTGCTAGACAGATAAGTATGATATGAACCTCTTTGATCAACTTTTAGGAAGTCAGAGTGATTTTTCTTTAGAAAGGAAAAGAAAAGAGAATATCAAATGATCACCGAATTGGCCTGTAAAAATAAGGATCACTAAGGCCTGTAAAAATAAGGAAACCAGAAAATTTGTATTGAGAGAAAGTAATTTAAATAACTGAAAAGGTGGTATCTAATAATTATCCCATATTAAGAAGAATTTGGACTATATCCAGTCAAGAAAATATTCATTGCCCACCATTTAGAGATCTAAAAAAAAGTGTAACCTTACTAAATAGGTCATATTAAATTAATTCATTTTGTCTTAAACCTCAAAAGTCAAGTGCTTCACAAAGCTTAGATGCTTAGCCTTATAGTTCAGTCATACATTTTGATTTAGTGTTAGGTTATAACTATACTATTGATATATCTTCATCTTTTAAACATTTTATTAATGTTTTACATGTATTTTTTAAAATTTACTTTTTATAAGGCTTATTATGTAAAAGAGCAATCTCTTGCTTCCTCCAACAACCTGCCTCTATTCCCATTCCCTAGAGGTAACAACTCCCAAGCCTTTTGAAGTTAGTTTTGGTAATTACTTTATGATTTATAAAGAGGTATTCTTTCTGCTACTTCTTGAAGTTTTTTAATTTCATATTAACTGTTGATGTGCTAATATGAAAGATGGAGATTTAGCTTATTTATATATCCTGCCGCTACCTCTGCTTGCCTTCCATCCTTTAAATATTATGTCATAATTTTTTGTAAGATCAGTATGTAGTTAGATACATGGTTTATGGCTCGAGCCAGACGGTATGTATAAGGTGGTTATAATTCCTTTCGTGAAAACATTCTGTTTTTCTTATAATTAATAATTTTATTTGTTTATTTACCTAGTACTAATATATCTCCAAACCTTCCAACAGAAGTGCAAATCACTTTCCAATACATTTGCACACATTGATTACAATTTATTATTTCCTCAAGCACTTCTCCCCTTGGGCCACCCCCAGACTCTCCTGTCTAGTTCCAGTCTACTGTGCTTGCTCTTTTTGCCTCCTATTAATACACGCTGCTCTCCTAGAATTTCTTGACCACCAACCTTCTGGGGATTCTGCTCTCCTTCTTCCTGTGTTGGTTCACTTCTTCAAGGTTCCAAGTCTCCCTCTTGCCTTGTTTTTGGTAGAATACATTTTCCAGGAAACTTCCTGAGAAAGAGCATATTCAGACTTGTCCAACTCACAGCCCATGGGCCCCACATGGCCCAGGATGGCCTTTCAATGCAGCCAAACACAAATTTGTAAACTTTCTTAAAACATTATATCAGCTATCATTAGTGTTAGTGTATTTTATTTGTGGCCCAAGACAGTTCTTCCATTGTGGCCCAGGGAAGCCAAAAGATTGGAGAGCCATGGTATAGAAGAATATTTCTTGAGATATATAAAATTCCAGGCATAACTGGAAAAACACCTTTATTACTGATTAATAATTTGGCTGTTCATAGAACTTTATGTTGGAAAGATACCTCTCTCCAAATTTTCAAAGGTATTCTTCCATTATTTTCTACTTTCCAGCACTGTTGCTAATAACTAGCTTGCCATTTTGATTCTTTATCTTTCATTTGTTACTTTTTTTTTCTTTCTTGATCTGTCCATGTTCAGTTCACTGTCAAATTTTGTCAGTCTCTATCTTCTAAATATCCCCTGAGTCCATACACTTTTTATGTATCACTTTGCTTTCTAGTCATCCCCCATGTACTCTTGCCCCTTACTCAGAAGCCAAAACTGTCTCCCAAAACTGCTGAGTCTTCACATCATGCCATTTCTGCCTTGCTGCGCTCCTGCCAATATAAAAAACTCCTCAGTGGCTTTGTATTTCTCTTAAGCTAGAGTTTACAAAGTCTGTTCACTCCTGTATCTAGACCTGCCTACCTCTCTAGCCTTGCCTCTTCTCTTCCCCTTACTCCTTGTATTCCAGTCAGTCTGGCTATCTTTTACCTTACCAAGTTCTTCACTGCTTTAGGGCATTTGTTACCCTTTTCTCACTTTGTCTTTCTCTAATTGCCTCTAACCCCTATCTATACTCCCTACTCTCGGTCGGCTCAATTGTAGTTTCCCTGGGAAACCCTTTGTGATCTCTCAGACAAGGTAAGATTTCCTTTTTATATGAACTTACATTATCTTGTGTTTTTTCATAGTACTCTTCCATTCATTCAGCTATCACACATTTTTTGAGTACTTAGTATGTGCCAGACACTGTGTTAGGAGCTGGGGATACAGAATGAACAAGACAGACAAAAGCCTACTCTGTTGGAGTTTATATCTTGCCAGTATTTTAGAAAGTGATAGGTGAAAAAATAAAGCAAGGAAGAATATAAGAAAGTTTAATTTTTTGATAAAATGGTCATAATCATTATTGATTGTGCAGTTAATTATTTCTAATTAATTTCTAATTACGTGTTTTTATTAGTGTGCTAGGGCTGCCATAACAAAGTACTGCACACAGACTGCATGGCTTAAAAAACAAATTTATTGTCTCACAGTTCTAGATGCTAGAAGTCCAAGGTCAAGGTGTCCCAAGCTTCTCAGGGCCATGCAGGAAGGATCTATTCTAGGCCTCTCTCCTTGGCTGTAGATGGCCATCTTCTCCCTATGTCTCTTGACATCATCTTCCCTCTATGTGTGTCTCTGTGTCCAAATTTCCCCCTTTTATAAACATACCAGTCATATTGGATTAGGGCTCATCCTAATGACCTCAGGGTGGCTCCTCTGTCCTTTCCCTATCATAAGCAGAGTCCTGAGGTATGAAAAAAAACTCTCTCGCTTAGAAAAGAAAAAAAAAACCTTAAAGTGAATGTTGGGGGTGGGTTGGGGGCCTCAGGGAAAGCCTCTTGCTCTGTGGAATTGGGTTCCTTTGATCATTTTATCTCTACCTCTGTTCAGACCAGCTAGACCTCCCTGAAGGGAAACAGCCAACATTTCTTTTACCCACAGAAAAAGAGAGGTGGCAGGGTCTTGGATAAGAGACAGATCGAACAATACCACATTTTAACTCACCCTTTGTCATATCCTGGATGAGCCCCCTTATGAGATGGGTTAGTTCCCTTGACCCGCTTTGTGGGCAGGAACCAGTTGCTCCTTTCACTTAGCCCACTGTTGGACACTCTTTGCAAGAGGGAATGAATGCTGGAACTGGCTGGTCACTCCTCTCTGGTGGGAGCAGGCTCTGTGCAGGCCCCGTAGCAGTGTCCAAGCCTTTGCCCTTTCAGGACACAGGTTATTGTCTGGCATCTTAGAAAAATGAGGTTGCACAAATGGATTGAAGGGTAGTGTTATGTGGAGGATTTTACCGGGTGATGGCTCTCAGTGGATGGGAGTTGGAAAGGGGATGGTAGGAGAAGTTAATCTTTCCCTGACGCTGCACCATCTGATGTTAGCCATATCTGTCCATAGTCTCCAACGTTCAGCAGCTTGCATCCCTGACTGCTTGCATCACCCACTTGTGTTGCTCCGCCAGCTGAAGTGTTTTTATGGCCACATAGGGGTGTGGCAGACCAAAAAGGGCAATATTTGGGTGGAGGAACAGGGTCAGCTGTTTTCCCTTAGGGCCAAGGTTCTAGGCTTGAGAGTGGAGTTTAGCCAGGAGCCCAGTGATTCTGTATCACAAGAATTTTTGTTTATATGGGGCATATCTATTGACATGTATCACATTATCAATTAAAACTTAGAGGACATCTGTTTCCAGCCATGGAATGACTTCATTTACTTTTCTACCCAAAACAAGCAAAATGAATGTATAAAACATATTAAATAGCAGTTTTCAAGATACTGGCCATTGGGCACCAAAGGACAGGGATCCTTGAGAGATAAGCAAAAAATGTGAACAGGCTTATCATAGAGTTTCCTGGTAGTATGGACAAGTGTATTCCAAGCAGAGCCTGAAGACTCTAAGGAGAAAGAGCTGAGAGAGAGATCAGAGGAACCAAAGGAGTTAGAGTTTGCAGGACCGAGTACTGGAAGGAAAAATTCATTGATCTACAGAGAGTTCACCTTGAGTATTCATTTGGCATGCAAAATACATTCTCTGACCACAGTGAAATTAAATTAGAAATCAGTAACATAGCTCTTGGGAAGGTCACCAAATCCATTTCAAAATAACCCATAGGTCAAGGAAGAAATTAAAGCTAAGCTATTTCAAAAATATTAACAATAAACCCATTACATGTTAGCATAAATAACATATTTTGATTAAAAAAAAAATTTCCCCCGCGCTAAAAAATAAAAATGGAGATTTCTATTAGCCCAGATGGAATAACAGAGACTGTATTTACTCTCCTCCATTAAAAACAAACAAACAAACAAAAAACCCTAGAAAACCAGGTGAATGTTTAATGGTTTTTCAGATAATGGGAAACAGGTAGCACAGGACTGTGATCTCTGAGATAGAGAGAAAACAAATCATGACTTATGCTAAATGTTGCTGTGAATGGGCAACATTACATTTCACAGAACTAGAAGGGAACAGGGCTTTTACAGCTTGGAAGCAGTAAACCTTGAGGAGACCAGTCTGATTAGAGAGGTCAGAAGCGCTTAGAGTTGACTGAGTGAGACCAAGTTGGAGGTGAGGAAATGAGACTATTAAGGTAGATGAATCTTTGGGAAGGTTTTACTGTGTTAAGAAGAACAGAAAAATAGGGTCATAGCTGGAGGTAGGTGTTGGGTAAAGTGAGGGTTTTGTTTGCTTGTTTTTTTAAGTTTGTTTTTTAAATTGGGAGATACTTAACTCTGACTTTCTGGCCTTTTTGACTACAACCCACAGTGAGAGATACATTTTATATCACTACTAACTATATACATGCAGGTGACTGAAACAACGTTTCACAAAATAGTCTTTACCTTTTCCATCTTTAACACACTACATTCTGTTCTCTTTATTTAGTTAAGAAAAAAATGCTGGTTCTAGGTTCACTGAGTTGTTTTCATAATTCACACTCTAGGTTTGAAGGCAGAGTCTCCCTGTTCACAGCTTCATGATGGAATTCTGAGCATACTGAGCATACGTTAGGTGTTAGCCTTTAATTATAGCAAGGACAATTGTTTCATGGTAAGAACAAGGGAAGTAGATCATAAGTGCACAGACAAGGTATACTGGTGGTTGAAAGAGGACAGAGTTTCGGTTAGAATGATTCTGTATTTTTCAAAGTAGTGTGAGGCCAATTAAGAAGGGGCCACATGGGGAGTGTTGAATATTTGAATGAAGAGAAGAAAGTGTGAGACAGACATTTTGGAGAATAGTAAAGCAAACTTTACTAGAGAAAGGTGGAAAAGTTGTTAGCAGTATTGAATGCCCATTTGAGAATTATCATGAAATTAAAGTGTCACTAGTCAGTTCAGGGCTAGATGAATAGAATAAGCCTGTAGTGAACATTAACCATAACTGTTAAACTCTTCCATGTTTAACTGCCTGGCTATCTTAGGTGATGTCATGGTGAAAGAAATATATGGGATTTTACTTTGGAAAACACTGACTCCAAACTCATTTCTTGATTAAAGTAGACTAGTAAGTATCTCAGTGGCATCACTGTAGAAGGGTATGCATCTGTTACACTCTTGAGAGATCCTTTTAGTCTTTTGTGCTACTGGGTTCTGCATTCTTGGGCAGACCCAGAGACACTCTGGCTCTAAGGGCTGGTCTGAAAAAGAGTAGTTAAAGTGATCAGGGAGTGAAGGCCTTGACTTGATACTAAAAAAGATTACATTTAAACTTGGAGAGGTACAAAGGATGGTATGATTGAAGTATTTAAAATCTGGAAGAAAATGAGTTGGTTGAACTTGTACCTAGTCATGGACATTCCCACAACTAGCTAAGCCACTTAACACTTTTAAGAGGCAGGCCAGGCATGGTGACTCAGTCCTGTAATCCCAGCACTTTGGGAGGTTGAGGTGGGCAGATCATGAGGTTGAGAGATGGACACTATCCTGGCCAACATGGGGAAACCCCATCTCTACTAAAAATACAAAAAATTACCTGGGCATGGTGGTTCGCACCTGTAGTACCAGCTGCTCAGGAGGCTGAGGCAGGAGGATTGCTTGAACCTGGGAGGTGGAGGTTGCAGTGAGCCGAGATTTCACCACTGCACTCGAGCCTGGTGACAGAGTGCTACTCCATCTCGAAAGAAAAAAAAAAGAAAAATACTTTTAAGAGGTAAATTCAGGACATATACCCACCAGAACTGAGATTTTAAACTCTATAGTACTTGCCAAATGGCAAAACTTCTAAAATGAAGTAAAGAGGTTGAGTGGGAACAATGTTACTAGTCTTGATCTGTTGACATATTTCATTTTCTGAGCAGGAGTTACAGGAATTCTCTGGCTAAAGCCAGAGTAGTAGCTGCCATTTACTTTTGGTTTCCAGCCTAGCTGTGGGGTAATTATATTTAAATCTGGGATTTTATTACTTCAGAAGATAATAAGTCATTAAGCCTCCTTAACTATTAATGTGATTACTTTAGCAAATATCTTGACTAATTCTTAAATCTACAGTCTAGGAAAGTGGTTTAGACCTGGTTTGACTAAATTATGTAGATCTTACAATACTGTGTTACCCTTGCCTAATAGAAACTACATAATGATGGTGGTAGTGTTAGCCCACTGATTCCAAGGAGCCAAAGAAATTATCCTCAAGTATGTAGAATGAAATAGGACTTAAAAGAAATTACCTAGCTTGTATATCTAGATAGGATTTCACTTGTTTCTAAAGAGTTAGTTTTTTCCAGCCATCTTTACAGCCAGCATAGATTTCTTTTGCTGACATTTTAATTAGTCTCTTGTTTAAAATGTACCAGACATTTTGCACACCAACACTTTTGTTTCACTGGAAGTTTTCATATATGTATCATACACATTAAATATATAGTAATTAGGAGCATTCTTTCCTGAATGTCTTTGCTGTGCCTGTCAATGTTCATGTATAGGAATCCAGCTATTTTCTTCCTTGTTGTGCATCGTAATTTAGTGTTTTCTTGTGTTAAAAGATAATTTTCAAAAACAAGTAACATTTTCATATGGATGTAAAATGAACACGTGTTTTTATTAAATATTTAAACGTATTAGTAGAGAGAGGACTGATAGTATGAGATGATCAAAGAAGGATCCAAAGAATAATGGCACTTACAGATCAGGAACATTGAAATGAATGTGTAAATGGGAAAAAAAACTGGCTTCTTCCACACTGGAGGAGGGAAGTCAGTTAACCTCCACCCAACAGGATTTTGCATATCTATAGACAAGAATTATTTTCCATTGCTCTCAGTTATCTACAACATACAGTTATACCAGTGAATGGCTGGAATCCTGGGAGAGTAGATTTAGACAATGCCACAGTTCAACTGAAGCACAATTTTTCCCTACACCCAGTACATTCCCCACACCCTAGTGTTGTGCTGAGGAAAATGGAAGAAACCAAGTGATAAAAAGTACATTGTTGGTTTTTGTATGAAAACAGTGTCAAAATTTTGTTTTAACCATTTGTAGTATGGTTCTCTAAAAATTTTACAGGATTTATGACATTACTTTGGATTGTGGACCAAGTGTTTAATGTTGCTGGATAAGTAAACTGCACCCTCAGCTGTTTGAACCGTGGTTCAGAATCACAAATAGATGTCCTTAAAGTTCATGCAGTAATGATGACTGGCTGCACTTTATTGAACAAATTGGTACATTAATAATGATCTCGAGGTCAGGTGTTTATATCAAAGGTGTTAAAATTGTAGTAAATAAAGATTAGTTAGTATAATATCCTGAGATAAGGTAGAATTGGTTGGGAGAGGTCTTAGAATCTTAAAGGGACTGTACTGGGAAACAGGCCAGAAATGTGAAGAAGTGAAAAAGCAGAGCTGGAGTGGATATCCTTTGTTATTATGATTCAACTTTTCTAGAGGCTTCTATTTTAGATTCCATGAATACTTTTAGTACTCTTATATCTTGGAAGTTAGAATATTATCATTTGTGTATATTTAAGAAAGTGCATGACCATCCTGAATCTCTAGGAGCTCCTCTTGTGTATAAATACTAGGATCACATTAAGAGGAGCCTATCACCCAGTCAACTCGGTTCACCCTGGCACTATATTACTCAACTAGTGAGGAGCATGCAAGCAAGCTGGCAAGCCAGGGAACAAAGAAAGTGGGGATCTCTCATGCTCTTATTATTATGTAAAAGCCTCTCTAGAGAATGGGGTTTGGGAAGAAACCTAGAGTAGCAAACTAGGAATATCATGTTTCCATATTTGTATTTGAGAAAGGGAGAAGATAAAAAGAAGCTTCCATGGCACTGCAGCCCTTTGTATTCTTATGCTTGGCAGCTTCTAAATTCATTGCAAGTGATTCCTAAGGATGCTCTTCTTGAGCAAGCTTGTATATCTCTGTTTTTTGTTTTTGTTTTGAGACAGAATCATGCTCTGTCACCCAGGCTGGAGTGTAGTGGCATTATCTTGGCTTGCTGCAACCTCTGCCTTTCAGGTTCAAGTGATTCTCGTGCCTCAGCCTCCTAAGTAGCTGGAATTACAGGCACGTGATACCCCACCTGGCTAATTTTTTTTTTTTTTTTGTATTTTTAGCAAAGGTGGGGCTTCACATGTTGGCCAGGCTGGTCTCGAACTCCTCTCAAGTGATCCACCGACTTTAGCTTCCCAAAGTGCTGGGATTACAGGCATGAGCCACCGCGCCTGTCCCTTGTACATCTCTTGATATTCAGTTTGTTAGTTGTAGATGGTTAACTTTCGTAGTCCTAGCTTTACTGAGAAGATCTTTTGAATTTCAGGTAAAAAACATAAGAGTGAATTTCAGTTTCTGGTGGATCAGGCTAGAAAAGAATACAAGAAAACTGTTGGAATGTCACAAGAAACAGTAACAATAACAAAAGAAGATGAATCTACAGAAAAGCTATCTTCTATATGCATGGGTAAGAGACTATAATTAAAAACAGATATATGTTGAATTTCATTATTTACTTTTAATATGAAAAGAAAATTAAACCAAAGAAATTTACTTTGGAGTTCTTAGTTCTTTGAAATGTGAAAAGTATTTTTAGACAAACTTCATGTAGCAGTTTGTAAACTAGATTTATCACTATGGGGAAAATGGTTGAAAGAATGTCTTGAAGAAATAGTCTCTTTTGTCTATCATCCTTTCAGGTAATGATAAATCATTTCTTAGTTATTTAAGCTTGAGGATGTTTTCTAGGTATAGAATTTATTGGTGGAGATCCTGAGAGATTCTATAAAGAGAGTGAATTATTTTTGTGATAATATACTAATGTTTACTTTGGTTGAAATGTTTTGCCAATCTAAAGCTAATATAGCTGGTAGGCTAATACAGAGCACATTCTTTAACTTTGGCCCATTTTAAAATTTGAAATTAATATTCTATTGCCTGGGCTTTGGACCAGAGAACAAAGAAGAATCATAATGGGGGAAAGTGTGCAAGAAAATTCTTTATTTTTTTTTTTATATTTTGGTAAAATATACCTAACACAATGTTCATCTTTTTAACCCTTCATAAATGTACAAGTCATTGGCATTAAATACATTCACAATATTGTATAACTATCACCATTGTCTGTATCCAAAACATTTTCATCATTCCCAGCAAAAACTCTGCCCTCATTAAATAGCAACTCTCCCCTCGGCCTCATAGCCCTGGTAATAACAATTCTACTTTTTGTGTCTATGAGTTTACCCATTCCAGGTACCTCATATAAATGGAATTGTACAATATTTGTCGTTGTGTGTTAGCTTTTTTCTCCAAGTATAATGTTTTCGGAATCCATCAACATTGTAGCATATTTTAAAATTTCATTTCTTGTTATGATTAAACAGTATTCTGTAGTGTGTATATGCCATATTTTATCCATTTATCTGTTATGGTTATTTCCACGTTTTGGTTACTGTGAATAATGTTGCTGTGAGCACTGGTGCTCAAATATCTAAGTTCCAGCTTTTATTTCCTTTGCATATACCTTAGAGTAGGATTTCTGATTCGTATGCTGGTTCTATGTTTAAGCTTTTGAGGAATCATCAAACTTTTCCATAGTGGCTGCATTGTCTTATATTCCCACCAGCAATGCATGAGGCTTCCAATTTCTTTACATCCTTATCAATACTTGTTATTTTCTGATTTTTAAATTTTTTAAAAATTGTACATGTGAAGTGGTATGTCATTGTGGTATTGATTTGCATTTCCTAGTGACTAAATTAATAAGCAGTTTGTGCATAAAGTGCTGCCTCAGTATGTAACTCATGGTCTTTGAACAACTAGAACTTGTTCATGCAATTGTTAAAGGATGTTTCTAGAGACTAGTTTAGCACTTGAGAAAACCTGACTGAATATTTCCCATTAATAAAACTTTTTTTTTATTAGTTGAACCCTCTTTTGAATATCATTGATGACTTGTATGTATTTATGAACATAAATACTGCTTTTTCTGGGGTTCAAACGTGATTGCTGCTTTTAGATTGTTGTGCATGAATGAGATGTTTGAGAGGGTAAAGGATGAGAGAGAGATGAAGACAGACACAGACTGACTGAAAAGATGGATTTTATATAGCATCATACAACCAGTATAATTGTTCCTCTTTAGAACAGACATTGAAGTGCTCACGTAAGTGAACAAGTTGCATATTCTCTCAAGTGAAAACTTAGCCTGTTTTTGTTGTGTGTCTCTAGGAAACTCTGATGTTTGAACCTCACTCTTGGGGCTCTATTTGACTTGATAGCCAGATGACATTAGGAGCATACTTTTAGGAATTATACTCTTGTGTAGTTGCTGTTCTCCCATTGAATACAGACAGTGTGCAAAACCAAAAGATTGTTTTAAGTTGAATTTTTGTTTCCTGGCTTGCCAGCTTGCTTGCATGCTCCTCACTAGTTGAGTAATATAGTGCCCATGTGAAATGAGTTGACTGGGTGATAGGCTCCTTTTAATGTGATCCTGGTATCTATTTACAAGAGGAGTTCCTAGAGGATCAGGATGGTCATCCTGCCTAATAACTTCTTCCCTTTTTCAGATATACATTAGAGGGTGCTGTTTTGTTTTGCTAATAATAGCTTATTGATAGCCAGATGACATTAGGAACATATTTTTTAGGAATTATACTCTTGTGTAGTATGCTGTTCTCCCAGTGTAACAAAAACTTAGAACTATTTCTGAAAAAATTTTGACTGTATGAACTTGGCAAGGTTTTTTGAAGATTTTGTTGTATTCTTTCCCCATAATTTCTCTGTGTATAACCAAACCTTGACAATTATAATTTTAGTGTGCTTTGTGGAAGACCACTTGCCTCTATAAGTGCTTGACGAGTGCTGTGTGAAAGCTGTTTTTCTGTGAGGAAACACATGAAAGGAGTTCTGTACTATTAGCATGTGTAGCTTGCATGTGAAGTACCTCCTCAGTTCCTGAAAAAGGAAGAACATCCCGGCAGAGTTCATGAAGAGTGGGAGAATTCTCGCCACTAAAGACTCACATGGATATTCTTTTCATTCATATTTGTAGAAAATTGGCCATATCTATATGCCATGTTTTTGTAAACACTGCATCCTTCCAGCTTTTTGGGGCCTTTATTTTATCTGTAATAAGAGACCTCAAAAGCTGAGAATATGACAAAGGATGCCTGGAAATGTGATGTGTATTGGATCAAATGGAAATATTCCTTCTGTCTGATTAGTTGTCCTTTTCTGTAGAGAATAATTAGATTCTATATAACAGGTTTAGGAAAATGACCAGATAGATTCACTATCATATAATAGTGACAAAGATTGTGGTTGTCTTATTAGTTGAATCTGTAGTCTTTTTTTTGGTTATACTTCTTATGTTGGTTTATCCTTAGTAATGTGTTAATAGATGCTTCATTAGAATGACAAGATTCTTTCTGCTCCTGGTTTTAAAATAAATTTTATTTCAAAATTAATTAATCTTGGAAAAACACGGCTGGACAGTATAATTAGATAACACCATTGTACTGTTAATTCTTGCTGTCTGGTTGTCACTGGAGTTTTGGAATCAATGTGACATATACTTCAACTTTACTAAGTGCAAATGGCAGTATTAAGTATTGCAGAAGTAATAGGCATATGGAAGTTGTAGATTTTAAGGTACTCTTAAATTTTTTTTTTGATTTTATTTTTTCCTTTTTAGGACAGGAAGATAATATGACCTCAGTAACAAATCACTTTTCTCAATCAAAGCTGGACTCCCCAGAGATATTAGAACCTGACAGAGAAGAGGATTCTTCTAGTTGTACTGATATTCAAGAAGCTCTTTCTTCACCAGAATCAGATTCATGCAATAGGTAACAAACAGGCAGTAGTTGATTATTTTAAATATCTACTTCATATGCACATGTAGACAGACAGGCAGAAATACTTAGGAAGTAGTTTTGAGGCATGGTATGATGTGTCAGCCTTACATTTCTCTCCCATTTTACTGCTGGGTCATTTTCACAGTGATAACAAGGCAGGATTTGGGAAGGTAGTGCAGGGATCATAGAGTGACTTTGGTCTCTGCAGCCTTTATATAGCTATTTTTCCTACCGTTGGAAAAGAAAGCATGATAGGCAGTGAAATTTGCATCAAGACAATGAGTGAAGGTCATAAAAACAACTATATTGGAAAACAGATGATTAGAAAGACATGGCTCATAGGAGAGTTAAAAAATGAAAAATTTAACTGAGTAAATAGAATAGATGGGGAAGCTTTAAAAATGAGAAGTTTGATAGTGAATCATTTTGAAAGGATATTTTAAAAATATGTAGGGTTTATTTGATAAACACGCATGCATACACATATACCATTTTTTGTTCTGGTCCTTCACTTATGTCATAAATATTACATTTTTATAGGTTGATGTAAAAGTATTTGAAACGACAGTTATTTTGCACCAACTATGCTTATAATTCTTATTAACGAGTACACTATTCTGTTATGTGTCTGTACCATAATTTACCAGACCCTTCAGTTTCTGTTAGAGCGCTACATTTTCCCCAGTGTTGTATTTATATACCTGATGCTGTGGTAAAGCTCTTCCTTTGTTTCTATTGAATACTTTTGTTTTCTTTTTTTGAGATGGTGTCTTGCTCTGTCACCTAGCCTGGTGTGCAGTGGTGTGATCTCGGCTCACTACAACCTCCACCTCACAGGTTCAAGAGATTTTCCTGCCTCAGCCTCCCAAATGGCTGGGATTATAGGCCTGTGTGACCACACCTGGCTATTTTTTTTTTTTTTTGTATATTTAGTAGAGACTGGGTTTCACCATGTTGGCCAGGGTGATCTTGAACTCCTGACCTCAAGTGATCCACCCACCCTGGCTTCCCAAAGTGCTACGATTAAAGGCATGAGCCACCATGCCTGGCCACTTTTCTTACCTTTATTGACATTCCAATAGGTATGCGCTGCTTTCTGAATGAATTGTACTGATTTGAAATGGTAGTATGTCAATGTGAATGTGTCTTGGAAATTATTTAATCTTTTATATTAGTTTATTTAAAAATTGGTAACACTGCTCTAGAATGATAAACTATTTCTAATCTTACTAATGGAATGATGAATAAACTTTTATGAGTATACCCATTGTTTTTGTAGGATTCCTGGGAAACAGTTTCAAATTAGTCAGAGTCAAGTAATAGGAAGAAAAAATCTTCCCATCTCAGTCCAGAGGTTTTCAAGGTCAAAAAAAATTGCATTTCTAGTTGACTGAGGGTAAAACACATGGTTGCGTGACTTGTTATCCTAGATCAGGCCATTCCTGCAAGTCCCGTGTGTAGTATTTGTTTTAAACACAAATCTAGGAATATAGAAAAAAATAGGAGTCAGGGGAATAAGAGTTAGATTTTAACCATAGTCACTAGATGCTTGAATGTTTCAGAATGCCATAATGAGTTGGGACATTTGGGAATGGCAGAAACTGAAAGGGAAACACAAGACAGTTAGATATCTTTATCTGGTTTTGAGAGTATGGAAAATAGGGTGAGTTTGTTGATGTCGTGGCCTCATTTAGACGTGTCGGTATCACCGAACTATGAGAGGACTATGGGAAAATGCCATTGCTTTTAGGAATACCATGACTCAGGAACTAGGAAAGCAAACAGTAGACAGTCTCTGGGTTTAATAAAAAAGGTAAAGGAAATATGGCTGAGGGAAATATGGAGTAAACCTTACTGGGTCAATTTACTAAAATGGGTTAATAAAAAGGTTGATCGTTCTACCTCATTACTCACTGAAAGAATTGAAAAGTGCTTTCACACTTGTCCCCAGTCACATATTGTTCTGCTGCCACTTCATTAAGGGATTAGCCTTTTCTCATTATTTATCTTTCTACTGACCAAGATTCTGGGCAAGATTATAAGTTTTTTCATCTTTAATGAGTTCTTCTTGATGGGAATCATATAGGGGTATCCTTATGCTATATTATAAGGTGAGAATTTTGTTAGCAACTGAACATAAGTATAGTGATGCTAGATTAACCTTTGTTCTTTGTTAATAGCAGGGTCTGACATTACACTATTGCACTCAACCATTCAACAAATATGTACTGTGTTCTAGCACTATTCTAGACACAGCAGTTTAGCAGGGATCAACCCATCAAACAGTTCTTTAAAATGTAAGCACTAATATTCTATTTCACATTATAATTAGTTATATATGTGCATATTTCTGCATGCACACACATGTAGATGATTCAGTGGAAGTACATACTAATAAGCCTTATTGAAATGCAGTTCATATACCACACAGTTAACTATTTAAGAGTACAATTGGCTGGGCGCGGTGGCTCAAGCCTGTAATCCCAGCACTTCGGGAGGCTGAGGCGGGTGGATCACGAGGGCAAGGGATCGAGACCATCCTGGTCAACATGGTGAAACTCCGTCTCTACTAAAAATACAAAAAATTAGTTGGGCATGGTGGCGCGTGCCTGTAATCCCAGCTACTCAGGAGGCTGAGGCAGGAGAATTGCCTGAACCCAGAAGGCAGAGGTTGCGGTGAGCCAAGATCGCGCCATTGCACTCCAGCCTGGGTAACAAGAGCAAAACTCCGTCTCAAAAAAAAAAAAGTATAATTGAGTGGTATCTAGTATATTCACAAATTTGTACAACCATCACCACAATTTTAGAACATTTTTATCACCCCAAAAAGAAACCCTGCACCCATTAGCAGTTATTCTCCATTTCTTCCCAGATCTCCTCCTCCAAGCCCTAGACAACCACTGATCTACTTTATGTATCTATAGGTTTGACTGTTGTGGACATTTTGTATAAATGGAATCATACAATATGTGGTCTTTTGATACTGCCTTCTTTCACTTAGTTTGCTCTCAAAGTTCATCTGTGTTGTACATGTTTCAGTACTGTATTACTTTTTATTGTCAAATAATATTTCATTGTATGGATATACATTTTATTTACTCATTTGTTGATGGACATTTGAGTTGTTTCCAATTGCAGTTTTAACAAGGAAAAAAATTACCAAGTTTGCTTGCACACAGTAGAAGCTTAGCTTTAGTGATGGTGTATAAAGATTTAACAGGCTTACTTTGAGAAAGTGGGCAGTGTCTCCTCTAGTAGTCTTGTCTTAAATATGAACAGGAAGTATTATACTCATTGTAAATATTAAGTATGGTAATCTTTTTATTTTATTTGGGTTCTTCTTTATATTCCTTTCTGAATTGTTCTGCTGTTTTATCAATCCTAAGATCTTTAAGCTTAAAAGGTAGAGTCTATTTTTTATATAAGACCTAGAAACTAAGGCTAAAGGGAAAGTGGGAAAGAAGTGGACCTTTAATAGTGGTATTAGTTTAGTACCAAGACAGACCACTTGGCAGCTTATTCAAGAGTAGATTGTCAAGGAGCGAGCATGCAGCAGGAAGCAGCCATGGGGTAGCAGGAAAAGTAGTTGACTTTGAATTGATGGTTTATAGGTCAAGTTCTGCTGGGTAATTTTGGGTTCAGTTTTTTGAAGTCCATTTCTATATATCTTTAAGAAGCACATTAAAATATGTCTCAGATCTATTGGGAGGAGGAAATGAGATAATATGAGAGTCATTGATAAATATATGATTATGGGTATACTTTCATAAAACAACTACATTTTCTTCCTAATTCAGGAAATTAGGACTTATGACTGGACATATTTTATGAAAATATTTTTTTTTCTCTACAGAAATAAGTTAAATGTTTGGACATTTAGAAGTGCTTTCACAGCCCTCATTTTATTGACTTTAAGACATCCACTTTCTGTTTTAAATTTTAATATCCGAAATTGTGATGTGTCTTATAATCAACAATAACTTAAAATTGCTGACAGCCTGGTTGTAGTCATGAAGTATTTGCCAGTGGGTGTACATCACAGCTCTTCATGGTATCATCATTGTGTTAGGTTACATGTATTGTTGGCATTACATTAGTTACTCATGTAATATGTCTTCAACAAAATATGAAACCAAAAAAGTTAATATGTATGAAGAAAAGCACAAAAACAGAGCAGCAAGATTTAAGTTTGATGTTATGGAGATAATGTTCATCATTGGGTGAATGATCTCAGTTCTGTATTTTCTTGACAAACAGTCAAGTGCCTTACAGGACCTAGGAAAGAAAGATACCCACAAGTATATGAAGACATGTTACATTATGTTAATGAACCGTGTGCAAAGAATTGCCTGTTTGTTACGTAACAGAGTGAGGGCAAGAGAAAGGGCCAAATCCCTTGGAAAAAAATGGAAGAAATTTCAAAGCATTACCAGCATGAGTAATTCTGTTCAGCATGACTAGTGCAAAAGAATATTGCTAAGGTATAGCACGTGTCAATTTGTCAGACACTTCTTACTCTCTTTTAACAAAAACTGCCTATCTTCCAACACATGCGGTGTGATTGAGGAAAGAAAGAAAATTATGAGTTCAGTTTGCGGAATGGATGTCAGTGCTTTAGATCAAATTCCTGGAAACAGTAGTCTAGTACATTTGAGAAATGTTGTACCTCCGGTGCTTTTGATGGTGCAGAGGATGAGTTCGTGTGGAAAAACTCAGTTATCAGAGATGCTGGGTCAAAATACGATGAAGTGGAGTTGGGTTCTGAATATGAAGACAATTTAGGAATGGTTTAGCCAATTTAATTCAGTTTTTAAAAATATGTGTACAACAATGACATAAATTAAAAATATGTCTACCTAAGTTTAACTCTCTGGATATGTACAAATTAAAAATTCTAAGTGAAAATGAAGTATTATAGTTAAGTTGACCTCAGTTTTTTCTCTCTTAGTGGCAGATAAAATAATGCTTATCTTGCCATCAATGTTGTCTTC